ACTATTTTTCTACCCTAAAAAAAAAAGAAAAAAAAATTGTTTAGATTGAGCAATGAAATATATTGGTGTAAGGTATAGGGAAGATTACCATGGAACTTTTAGTTGATTTAGAGACAAATTCTACCATTGTAATCATGGCCATCCTTTGCCCAAATTCTTCTTAAATTTAAGACATATCCTGAAAGTCTCGTATTGTAATCTATCTCCATAAAATTTCTATAACACTTTGACCATGATTGTAACACCTCATTGATACTTATAAATAACCTTAGAGGCTCTCAAAATGCAACCTAGACGTCTTTTCAACTCATAATTGTCATCATACTATTATATAGACATTATTCTCATATTCTCTAGTAGAGTTTCGGTGACATCTCCGTAGTTGGCCCAATAACATAAGTGTTGGGTTATGGAGCATGCTACTTATTTATAGCTCATTCTACGGTTCTACGTAGTAAAACTATATGTGGTAAATGACATATAATGCAAATGATCATATATAGTGAAAAATGATATATAATAAAAGGCTATGGATGATTATATATGGTAAAGTTCTAGTAAACTGAACCATATATATACAATTTTAGTTGTGCTTTTAAAATGTACTCTCTGCCTTCTCTATATTGTCTCTTATCGTACATACTTAAAGTCATCAATATAAATCTTTATTCAAAATTCCTCATTTCATTTTCTCTCTCTTCTGTTCTTTGTGATCATCTAGATCGAGTGTTTGTGTTATTGTGTGATCCTATGAACTAGTATCAAATTTAGGCGAGATTCATCATGATCTGTGAAGATCGAAAGCTCAAATGTTGGAACTGAGAAGTTTGATGGATCCGATTTTGATTTTTGGACGATGCAGATTGAAGATTATCTGTACCAGAAAGATCTTCACGAACCCCTGTAGGAGGTGAATTCGGATACCATGAACACGGAGCAGTAGAAGCTCAAGGATCAGCAGGCTTCAGGGTTGATCCGGTTGACGCTATCAAAAAATGCGGCGTTCAACATCATCAAGGAGAAGACAATATCAGATCTGTTGAAGGTACAGTTGAGTATGTGCCAAAAAATGTCGAGTATGAACAAGGTGTATTTTATGTGGAGATTGTTCAATTTACAAATATGTGACGGTGAATCTGTTGCTGATCATATAAATGAATTCAATATGATTGTAAGTTAACTAAGATTGGTGGAAATTAATTTTGAATATGAAATTAAAGCATTGGTTTGATGTCATCTTTACCAAAATTGTGGGAAATTAAAGCTCAGGTGAAATTAAAGCATTGAAAGTATTCCCATATAGTACAAGCAAATCATAACTAATTCTATAATATTTTCAGACCCTCTGCAATCGAAGCAAGTTCACGATTACGAGTTTATTGATGAACCTCTGATCATCTCTATATTACAGCATAAATACCACTTGCGTAAACATATCATAAAAAGAGATATAGTATAGTAATCTAGACATACCTTCACGTATATGTGTCTTTTCCCATCATCAATTCTCACATTGCAGACTTTTGATTTTGGTTTCTTCATCAAACCTTCAATATTATTCAATTCAATCGTAATGAACAACAAATCATCGAATTTGGCCAAGAATTGAGGGAGATATTATCTACTAAAGTTCCTCAAAACCCCAAAATCGTACCTTACATTTCCAAGCTCAATCTCCTTCTATAGTCCCTCTTGGTTCACGAATCCTTCTTGAAAGTGTAAATCGTCCTCTAACGAGTCTATACCAATCAACCACGATCAATTTCATACCCTGCAGGGAGAATTTAGAATATGAAACTCTAAAGCCAAACCATAAAAGTCATCTTAAACTGGAAACAAGTACTCTCCCTTCACAAACCGAGCTCAACTACTGTTGGTGGACGGAGGTGGGGAAATTTGTTCGTCTCCACCTTGCTCCAGGGACGTTTCTACCATTAAGCTAATTTTGGATCAATTTAAATTTAACAAAATAATAATAATAATAATAATAATAATCAAGGGTAACAACCTCTTTTTTTAATCAAATTTCATTAAGAGAAAATAATTTAAAAATCTATACGCTTTTTAAGTACTAAATTTTTTTTATTTTCAACCAATTTTACCATGTATTTTAAAAATGTAAGTTTAATTAATTTTTTTTTTCCAAATATAGAATATATTTGACTTTCCTTTAAATTATTCTATTTTTTTTAATTATTATTTTATGCATAGTAAAATAAATGGATGACTATTTAATTTTCAATTTTAAAAATTGCTTTTGCTTTCTTTTATCATTTCTTTACCATAAAATCCATTTTTGTAAAGAAAGTATTTAAATTCTAAATAAGATTTTTAAAAAACATAACATTTTTTTAATGATGTTTCTTTCTTGGTGAGTTTTGGGAATATCTCCATTCATAGGTCCGAGATCCACATCTATGAATTGAAAGGTCCGAATGATCAACTCTGCAATCAGTCGTTCATTTGAAAAAATTGAAACCCTTCTTATTGGATGATCATGATACTTCCCAAAAATCGAAATTCTTGATCAATGGAGGAACAATATCACCATTTTTGTTCAATAAGATACCAAAGTGGATGATTGACTCATTCCATACGAGAAATAAGAATCCTTTGATAACACCTATTACTATTTCTCAATGATATCCCACGATCAAGACAATTGGCTAAATCCCGTGAAACCGATCATTTTCATTTAGAAGTTCATTGATATCTTCTTTTTATAAAGCAACTCGACTTCGATTCTTGAATAATCCACATCACTTCTGCTTCTATTGTAACAAAAGATTCCCTTTTTATGTGGATTATGTGGAAAAGGCCCGTATCAATAATTATGATTTTACGTATGGACAATTCCTCAATATCTTGTTCATTCGCAACAAAATATTTTCTTTGTGCGGCGGTAAAAAAAAAC